GCGGAGTCGTCAGAAGGAGCCTCGCCTGTCTGTCCCAACGTGCCTGGCCTTCTGAAGTCTCCTGGCAGTTCTGAAGGTCCTGACTCCTAGGGGAACCAGCCTCAGCTGGGTCACTCCATGGTCCTGAAGATGCTTTTAGCCTGACAACTGCTCCAGGACCTTTGCACATCCTTGCAGGACAGCCTCAGGGAGAGGCCAGGTGCTAGGGTCAGCCAGGGCCGTGGTTTCACATGCCCTCTCCCAAACACTTCCTCCTTGCTGTGTGTCCTGAGTCACTGACACCCTTTCTGTGTCTCCTTTGCCTCATCTGAAAAGTGGGGGATAATAACCCTCTGTGGTCTCCTGCCCTGAAGGCAATTCCTCACTGCTTCCTCAGCCAGACCCTGTCTCTTCTCTCTGGCCTCCTGCAGCCAGAAGGAACCTGTGAGGACACCCAAGTCAGGACAGACCCTGAAGCTCAGAGCCCGGGGCAGCTGCACCTCACTCTAGGGAAAGCCAAAATTTTCACCCCAAGTTCCCCGCCCCCAAGCCCCATCACTGCCTCCTACCTCATCTCACCCATCACACCCCAACCCAGCCTTCCACCGTGTCTCAGATCCACACAGGCAGCTTATTTCCTCTCTCTGTGTCCCCACGTTTGCTCACCGAGCATCAGTCTCCCAACCATACAATGGGCAAGACACCACCTAGAATGGAACTAACTAAGCCTAAGTGTGCTAACGTGCAAGACACACTAACAAGTGCCACCCGGCCTGTCCCTTTTGAGAAGGGCTTTCCTCATGAGGGTCTCCTACTGTGTATGTACACTAACCCCACCTGGACCCCTTTGCCTGACTGTATTCTCAGAAAACGCAACAGTTCTGCTTTGCTGGGAGCCTGGGGTTTCCTGGCTGCCGAGTAGAAAACCGACACCAATCTCCCAGCCAAGTCAAACTCAACAAGTCCTTCTCAGAGGTGAAAGGGAGGGTGCCCAGCAGGACAGGCTCCAGCCAGACCCTCTGGAAACAGCCACCCGAAGTTTGAAGTGTCCAAAGAGGGTGCAACCTAGAGCCTGCCTCGCCATCCCCACTTCCTGGTGCCAGCTCACTGCGGGGAAGGGGCGTGAGAAGATGGAACAGAGCGTTCAATCTTCAGTTATCCACCTAGCGGCCCACTGAGGCTTGGGGAGCGGGGAGGGGTCGTCTTACCTCTGCTGAGCAGAATCAGGGCGACAAAGGTGAGGAGACACAGGCGCCAGGACGGTGACATCTGTGCGACCGAGTGGAGGAAAAGGTGAGTGACGCTTGACACCTCGGCAGTCCCACAGCGTCCCTGGAGCAGGTCCCTGGCTTCAAGGAGCCTCTCTCCCCCGCCTCTGGGAAGGGATGCTTTTTAGAAACCAGAGTCTTGAGCCACCATCCCCTTCTTCCGTGAGCTGATTCCCAAAGAAAACCCGAACCATCAGCTGAGCCTGGCCTCCTGACACCCCTGAGGAGGAGAAGCCGCTCACTGCTCCTGAAGCCAGAGCTGACTCTCCTCTCGATGGTTCCCTGGCAGAGGAAGTCAGGGGCCCCCGCGGTGTCTGCTCCCTCGGGGACTGGAGGCCAGAGCAGTGGGGCCCGGAGGGGAAGAGGAAGGGTGACTAAT